ATTTTTAATAATTTTTTTTCTGACTGCAATACAAATTTTTTTCCATACGAAATAAGTTCGAATTTTTTTTTTATGAAAAAAATGGGTCATGAAGTCAAAACAAAAATATTCGAAATCAACGCGATTTTTTAGCAACTTAAGACTTGCACATTATTACCCTAGAATTTAATGGGCTATTAAAAAGTTGAAAATCTAGCTGAAACTTTGGAGATTTTTCATAATTTTTGCACAAAGTTTGAAATCTGGATTTATGTGGTGTTTGTTTTATAATGAGCTAGACCTTTATGGAAAAATAATAAACATTAAATTAACAAAAGAAAAATTGCCAAAATTGATCAAAGTGTTGCTGGCTTAATTAGCAGATCAAAAGTGTATATATAGAGGTGTTAACCTTCGTTCGTTATTTCTGTTTAAAAGCTATTTCCGTCCTCTTTTATTTGATACCAAATTTGTTTAATTTGGATAAGCGGTTTGTTTAATATCAGGAAATGACTTTTATATAAATATTTGGCCAAGGTGACTTCAAAAAAAATAACTGTTATTTTCGGTCCCTGAAAAATGCAAAATCACGCAAGAACGCTACGCTGTATTTCAGGATGGTTTTGAGAAAAAAATTTACGAAAGCGGGTTCGTCTGCTGAGCACTTTTTTACACTTTTCTTTAACTATTTCTTTAATTTAACACGACAACACGTTCTAAAGCCTTTTAATCAGTAATTATACCTAAATTGTGTGTTTTAAGTGGCTGACAATAATTTTGGTTAATTTTAGTTTTCGTTTTCTTTGCTTTGTTTACTTCTCGTTCGTTTTCCAGGGATCTTCATAATAAAACAGCTTTCTCGTTTTAAGCCCAAAATACAATAGCGCAGTGGCAGTGGAAGTGACAGTTTTTAAAATCAGCTGTTACTGCTAATATTGGCAGTCACTGCCGTAGCAAACACAATACGGCTCTGTCAGTGACTGCTTTTTTTGACATTCCCTTTTGTTTGTTTACATTTTTGTTGTTGCCTTTTAGGCTTCAGTGACATCAACAGATGTTGGCTGCGTTTCATTTATGTCAAATTCAGCATGCGAAGTTTGCTGCGATGAAGGCAAGGCAGTGGCAGTAAATTGAGAATTTGGGCTAAATTGAGCAGTACTGCTAGCTGCCTCTGCTCTACGGCTGCCTTATAGTCAAATTTTAAAGGCAATTTTTCAAATAAGGTAGTGTCAAAATCTTTCTTATCGCTGTAATTAATTTACCTGGTATAAATCCGCCATGGCATGGAACAAACACAAGTTGCCGTTCCTGTTCGCAGTTTACGTATAACCCAGAGAGTATTGTTTTGAGGTTTATCTTCAGTTAAAATTTCTGCATTATCATCACTTGCTTCATTATCATCACTATGGATTTTGTTTACGAAGACGAAGCGAACATGTACGAAATAGTGATGTAAAAATATGTAAAATTTTACCTACTCTCAGACTTCTAAATTTGAACGTATACTCGGTACGAGCAGGTGGGTTGAATGACGCAATAAAGAGGGAAGCATTAAAACAGCTTTCTCGCTTTATTTTCTGACATTCGGCTGCCCTGTAATAATCACATTTTATAGGCAAATTTTCAAATAACGCACCATGAATGTGGTGCTTGCAATAACACCATACGCAGTAATTCTCATTACTTGGACATTAAAAAGCAGTTTCAGAAGTGAACTAGTGTCATTTTATTATTATTCTTTCTTCTAAACGGTTATAAATGCCACCAGTGCATAATTGTGAAAGGAGGGCAGATGGGCGGGGGAGGGGACCGGCGCGACGCTGGCCACTTTCAAAATTGTATACTTACAAATCCGTCCATTTAACTTGTTCGTGTACAATTTTTTGTCAAATGTAACTGGGTGACTCTATGTATGTGCACTATTTTGCTTTATTACTCAATTGTTAAGTTTAAAAGTTAGTCTTATTCCTCAACGAGAAATGAATTAAAGCAAATTTGTGTTATTTCACTTTCAAAAGCTCAACTACGCTCTGTCTACTGCAGCAGGCTTAATTCCTACATGAGAAAGATAATTACAGATGTTCCCAATGAGTGCCCAGGATGCGGAGAGTCACCTCAGGACTCGTGACACCTCTTCGCATGCCCCCTAAACACCACTCGACTAATCCAGTCGGAGTAGCACACTTCCTAGGTCCCCCGTTCGTTGAGCTTGAAGATAGCGATTGATGTACAAGCCGATCTAGGCAAGGCTAGGTAAGCCGCTACAACAACAACATTTCATTATCAGAGCGATGTCGGGCGAATAGAAATCGCGCTTACCAAAACCGCAGCCAAAACGGTCATGGCGTCGTCGACTCCTTTGTCTAAGCCGTCATCGGCTGAGGACTTCGAAGTCCTCCCTAGTGCCAAACTGTCCAGGGGCAAGCTTATGAAAAGCCACTGAGGCTAAGTTAGTAAAATTGCTT